TGGTAAATTCCTTGAGGTCAAGACTGGTGTCTTTAATTATTTATAATTCCCCCAAAATACCCAGAAGAATGCTTTGCGTAAGTCCTTTGCCCGTTTGAATAGAATAAGTTGTGAACTACCTCATGATTTAACTTCCCTCTCACCACTGTCAGGCTCTCCGGTTTGGAGGCCCAGGAGCACACAGATCAGGCGACAATGCATTCAGCTGCAGCGGCAATCATTCACACATATTCACACACATGGGACTATGCTAGGCAATATCAAACAAAACAGCACTGGCCTAAGAACTTGGCTTTTCAACATCTGTACCTTTGACTACAAATCAGTAGGGTTTATTTTACCATTGAAAGTTCACCTTTTGGCCAGGCATGGTGGCTCATACCTGTAGTTCTAACACTTTGGGAGGCCGCAGCGGGAGGATCACCTGAAGTCAGCCATTTGAGACCAGCCTGGCCAACATGGTGAAACCCCATCTCTACTAAAAATACAAAAATTAGCTGAGTGTGGTGGTACATTCCTGTAATCCCGGCTACCTGGGAGGCTGAGGCAGAAGAATCACTGCAACCGGGGAGGCAGAGATTGCAGTGAGCCAAGGTCGCGCCATTATACTCCAGCCTGGGTGACAGAGCAAGACTCTGTCTCAAAAAAGAAAAAACAAAAAACTTCAACTTTCTTCTACAGTTGTGCCTTTGTTGTAGAACCTCAGGCTATTAGGTATATGACAACAGAACATTTACTAATTGAATAATCTTTTTGTGCGTGTGTTGAAGCCTGTCACATGTAATCCAGAAATCAAAGCCAATCACATACGCATGTGAGTTGGCAACTGTGATTCTGCTTTTCAGCCGGTAACATACATACTAAGCTTTTTGTAGCACTCATTTTATGCTTAAAGATATATCACTTTTATAAAACATGTATTGGTGTTTATACAACAACCCTAAATACGTGTATTACTTTTATAGATTCGTGAAAGTGAACATCGTTTTCTAGGCAATACCTTTATATTTTGGGGGATAATTTCAACTCACATTTTCATCTTTGCCCATTTATTATCCAGCCCCCTAATTGGATGTGACTACTGTTAAAGCACCTTCTATGCTAGGTAGTGCTTATAAAAGAGGATGAGATGCTTACTCTGATTTAGAAGAGGCCACAGTTTAGAAAGGGACAGATACGTAAAAGATGGAGTGCCTTCAGTATAATCAAGCCACAGAAGTCAGGGTGGTAGCAGGAAGAGGCTGGCATATGGAAGGAAGTTAAGGAAGGTTCCTAGAGATGACTTTTTTTTTTTTTTTTTTTTTTGAGACAGGGTCTTGCTCTGTTGCCCAGGCTAAAGTGCAGTGACATGATCTCAACTTACTGTAACCTCCACCTCCTGGGTTCAAGCAATTCTCCTGCCTCAGCCTCCCAAGTAGCTGGAGCTAGAGGCTTGCACCACCACGCCTGGCTAATTTTTGTATTTTCAGTAGAGATGGGATTTCACCATGTTGGCCAGGCTGGTCTTGAACTCCCAGCCTCAAGTGATCTGCCTGCCTTGGGCTCCTAAGAGTGCTGGGATTACAGGCCTGAACCACCATGCATGGCCCCTAGAGATGACATTTAAGCTTAAGCAGGCTTTGAAAGAGAATTTATCAGATGAAAGGAGGAAAAGAGTGTTTTAGAGGAAGGGAAAAGAGGTACAAAGGTGTGAAAATGAGAAACTGAGTATTTTGAAGAAATGTAAATGATTCCATTATCTTGGAGCATCAAATGAAATGAGATATAAGCAGATAGATATAGGTTGTTTCCTTGAAAAGGAGCTGGGACTTTGTTCTCTGAACCTGTGCTCCTCAAAATGTTGTCCATAAACCACATGCATAAGAATGCCTTGAGGTGCCTGGTATAATTTAAAACTTCTGCATTCCAAACTGCATGTATAGGATTAGAATCTCTCGAGATGGACCAAGGATCAGCATTCTGCAAGCTCCGGTGACACTCATGCACACTAAGGTTTGGAAACCATAGTTGTTATATAGGTGGTGAGAAGACTTTGAATGGTGTTATGTAGTGTAGTGACTTGTTAAGGTATTTACTTTTTAGAGAATCTGGAGGCATTATAGGAGATCTATTGGAAATGTTTCCCAGGAAGCAGGGAGATGATTAAGAAGCTTTTGCAATAGTCAATATGTGCCAGAAATAAGAGTGATGTGATGGCCAGCGGTGGCTCACACCTGTAATACCAGCACTTTGGGAGACCAAGGTGGGTGGATTATGAGGTCAGGAGTTCAAGACCAGCCTGGCCAAGGTGGTGAAACCCTGTCTCTACTAAAAATACAAAAATTAGCTGGGGACGATGACAGGTGGCTGTAATACCGGCTATTTGGGAGGCTGAGGCAGTAGAATCACTTGAACCTGAGGGGGCGGAGGTTGCAGTAGGCTGAGATTGTGCCACTACACTCCAGCCTGGGTAACAGTGTGAGACTCTGTCTCCAAAAAAAAAAAAGAGTGATGTGATGGAGTAGACAGAAAACAGCAGGTTTACAAAATGCTTTGGAAGGAGAGAGAGAAATTTGGTGAACAATTTAAACTCCCAGCTGTTAGACTTCAGTGCTGTGGGGAAATGATACAGTAGAGTAGATAGTTAAGGCTGTGAACCCTGAAGCTAGACTGCCCCAACACTGCTACTTTTCTATCTGTGTAATTTTGATAAGTTGCTTAACCTCTCAATGCCTCAGTTTCCTTTATAAAGTTACAAAGTTTTCTTAGTTTTGAGGATTAAATGAATTAACACACAAAAGAGCTTGAAATAATGCCTGGCACTGAATAGTGTCCAATACATTTTAGAGAGGCAAAGTAGGTAGTACTAGTTAACATAGTCATAGTTGTAGTCTAGAACTGATAGTTTACGTAAGTAGTTAGAAACATAGTAGACAAATTGCTTGTCTCAGTCCGTTTTCTGTTGCTATAACAGAACACCTGAGACTGGGTAATTTATAAAGGAAAGAAATTTAATTGGCTGGTGGTTCTGGAGGCTGCGAAGTTGAAAGGCATGGTGGCAGCTTCTGGTGAGGGCTTTTTTACTGCATCATAATATGGTGGAAAAGCTGAAGGACAAGTGAGCAAATACAGAAGAGACCACAAGAGCAAGCTAAGCTCCCTTTTAAAACAACTCATTCTTGTGAGAACTCACCCCTTCCAAATGGTATCGATCTATTCATGAGAGCTTTGCCCTTACAACCCAGTAAACCCCTTAAAGGCCTTATCTCCCAACACTACCACATTGGGAATTAAAGTTCTAACACAGGAACTTTTTGACAGGACCCACTCAAACTGTAGCAGAGATCAAAAGCCTAATTGCTCAGTTTGAATCCCAGCCTGCTCTTCTTAGCCATATGACTTAAGAGAAACTATTTAATGTCTCTGTGCCTTATTTTATCTGTAAAATGGGGATGATATTAACGTATACCTCATATGGTGAGGATTAAAATCATGCATGTAAAGTCTTAGAACAGTGCAGGCACATGGTGAGGACTCAATAAATATTGACTGCTATTGTCATTATCATTATTAACAAAGATAAGGAAGCTAGGATGAAGAGCAGGTTTGTCTCAGTTTTGATCTTCCAGGTTGAAGTGTATAGTAGGCAGTTTGCAGTATAGGTTTGGAGCTCAGGAAAGAAGTTGGGGCTAGAGACATCGATTTGGAAGCAAAAAGTATAGAGAAGTTACTTTAAATCATGAGCTTCAGTGAAATGTCAAAGATAGGTGTTGTAGTTCAGGAAGGAATAGATGGAGAATGGAAAGCAGGAGAAAGGAACAGGCATTCTCTGAACCAGGCATTGTGCTACTTACAATTCTTAGTAGATATAATATACTTTCCATTCCTAATAACCCTATGGTATCATATTTGATATGCTGGAGCCAGGCCATAGTGGCTTATTCAATGACTTCATGTCGGTAGCTTGCAATTGGCCTTGATGAAAGCATTTACACTATAGAAAAGGTAAATGCTAAAAATCAGAGCTCCCCTGGCCTCCCAGGCTTCCAGCCCTTGCCCTGCCAAGAGCCAAATTACTAGAACAACATATAATCATCCTTACTGTTGAAGAAATGGAAGCTTAGAGAGGTGAAGCCCCTGCCTTTTAAATTACACAAGGATTCCTCTTTACTGAAAATGCCCTTTAACTACTGTGGTTTTCCAAAGTTGAGATATTTGATGCTTCTCACACTTGAAAATGTAATTGTATGCCCACTGTGAGTGAGTTATTACATTACTCTAATATTGTATTAGAAAACAATCCTGAATGAGTTTAGAAAAGTAGCTTAGAGTATCTGTTGATGATGATTTAAAACACAAGGATTATATTTCCTTGACTGTTAAAGAGTTTGCTGACTAGAAGCCATGAGCTGGTTTTTTTTATCAGCCATTATACTAAAAAGAGTCATTGAACAAAGGGGAAGTCAGTAGATGTGGGAGGGAGTGAAAGAATTATAGTTGAGTACTCTCAAATTATTAATTCATTACATATCATACCTTAATGATTCGATGAGAAGTTGAATGAAACATTCATTTTACTCTAGAACAGTGTAATTTAAAATGGATGTGTAAAATCGCTTAGCATGAATTCAGAGGCTTTATAGCCTCTGTAAAGTATATATATTTTTTGCTTGTTTCTAAAGTACACATTCAGTGTACTTTAGAATATTTTTTTTTTTACTTGCTTCTAAAGTACACATTCAGTTTATTCATCCGTTTATGATACAGTACAGAGGAGGCAAAGTACTTCACATCATAGACTTAACTTCCAACTCCTTGGAATGTTCATTTCTCTGGCTTACAGGAGAGACGAGACAGGAAAGTCAGGCAAAGCTTAGGTAACTAAAATGAGGCTGGCGGCAATGCTAACGTCATCCTCACAGGGACAGCCAGAGGGACTGTTAGTCGCAAACTGGTTTTCTAGACCTGTCAGCTGGAAGCATGGGGAGCACCATTTCTGGATGCTCATGCTGTGTTGGGCTTCAGTCATCACCACACAGGTACAGCAGCGCTTTCTGGTAGTCACCCTTAGTGTCTTGCTGGGTGTAATAGTATAGGGACTTGCTGCACTTTCTCTTGAATTCAGACCTAATTTTCAACATGTCCATGTCACTATGGGACACCATAATTCTGATCAGGACCTTATCTCGAGTGCCCTTTATGGAGTCATACAGCCGATCAGCAAGATACAGAGGCTTGTTCTGAATGCACTGGACCAGGTTCAGGAAAGCATTTTCCAGGTCTCCTTTAACCCCTTTCTTGATGCTCTCCAGTGGGTCATAAGGGCTGTAGCTCTTGTACCTAGTAAGTACTTTCTGAAGGTAGGACGTGCTCTGCTCGGTCATGATGCTGATCCACTTGGGACCATCAGTTCCTTTCCTCTTCACTCCAGTGTCATAGAGATCCCAGGCATCTTGGTCAATCAGTTCATAATCAATGACAGAGCCATCTTCTGCTCTTCTACCTTTTGCCAGGGCAACCAGCAACTTGCAGATATCACCAGATGTGTCCAAAATAATGTCCTTCTCCAGATCAGTCTTGTACATTTCCTTGTAGACTCTGTTAATTTCCTGAAGCCCCTGGTTGGTTCTTGAGCAGATGATCTCAATGACGGAGTCCTGGTCTGTTCCCAGCCCCTTCTGGGAAGCTTTTAGCTCAGAAGCATCATACTGAGCAGGTGTCTTCAATAGGCTCAAAATCACTATCTCCAGAAGGCCAGATAAGGCTGACTTCAGTGCTGATGTAAGTTCCTTTTTGGTCCTTCTCTGGTAGGCAAAGGCAATATCCTGTCTCTGTGCATTGCTGCAGTTGGTCAAAATATTAATAATGGTGACCACATCCACACCTTTGCTCTTGATGGCCATTTCAATTTTCAAAGCATCCTGCTTAGCATCAAAGTTGGTGTAGGCTTTGGCCCATATGCACTTGGGGGTGTAAAGTGATCACCCTGCAAGCTGAGTTTGCACAGGATTTCATGAACAGCAAACATTTTGAAGGGAGCTGGGCTGGGCGCTGAGAACTGAGAGTGTCCCCAGATGCCGAGTTGAAAATATATTATTTTATGCCCCTCTCCCCTGCCTCACCTCTGCAAACTACCACCTTTCCTCCCTAAAATATAGAGGAGGGAGGGCATGCAAAGTTGGCATCTTTGGTCATTATAGGACCATCACCCCATCCTTGAGAATCTCATCCTTGGGAACTCTTCTTGCATTTCAAATGGAAAAAGATGCAACTAATATTGACTAAGTGCTGGGCAGCCACTAAGGGTGCAGTGGTGAATAGGACAGATGTTGCTTCTGCCCTCAAGCAGCTTACAGTGTAGTGAAGGATACAAACAGATAAATACTTAAAGTATCATGTGATAAGGAATGTGGCTTTCTAAAGAATTTTAAAGAGAAAACGTGATTCATTTGAGCCCAAATTGTAATTATCTTCACCCCTGAAACTCAGAAGAAGCCATGTGTGTATTGGGAAAAAAAGTATCATGTAAAGGTTTAGGAGAACCTGGTTTTATTCTTGCCTGTGTCTCTGACTATCTCTGTGATATGTTTAGCTTCAACTTTCTAATCTATAAAATAGGGATGATAATATTTGTCTTGCTATCTCATGGGATTGTACGTGAGAGAATTTACATGAAAGTGTTAAAATATTACTGAACATTCTGTTTTCCAGTGATGTAATGGGGGTTGAAATTTGCTTGTCATTAATAACTCATTTATGCACTTCTTCATCCAGCAAGCGTTTGTTAAGCACCTACTTGATTGAAGATCCGGTGTTAGACCTATACTTGGCTTAGTTTCATCTTGCTGCATGATTCCATTCAAACATCTAGATTGATTTAGCTTTAACTTCCTTTTTGTTGTTGTTAAGACGGAGTCTTGCAGGCTGGCGTGCAGTGGCATGATCTCGGCTCACTGCAACCACTGCCTTTTGGGATCAAGCAATTCTCCTGAGTAGCTGGGATTATAGGTGTGCACTACCATACTCAGCTAATTTTTTGTGTTTTTAGTAAAGACAGGGTTTCATCATGTTGGCCAGGCTGGTCTCAAACTTCTGACATCAAGTGATCCACCGGAGTTGGCCTCCCAAAGTTCTGAGATTGCAGGTGTGAGCCACCGTGGCCAGTTAGCATCAATTTTATATTCAGTTGGAGTGGGTGGTGAGAGGAAATCTGCATTTATTGATACCCTGTTTCAGTCTAAGGGTTCGCATTCTATAAACTTCCTGGAGAGGTAGGTGGAAGTGACCAGGAAGAATATAGGTGAGAAGCTGTTGAATTAAAAATTCATTTTGTGCTTCATAGGCTAGACTTGCATCTGGAAAAAAAATGGTTTAATTATGGAATTATGGAATAATTGTCAAATTGATGATAATTACTTTAAAAATTCTTATTACTCATTTTACTAGCTAATATGTAACCATCAAATGAAAGCTTTTACTTTAGCTGTTATTCAGATATGGGGGAAAGATTTAATAAGTATTACATGTGTTTTTTGTGTTTATATTTGTTATGAAAGTATTATATGTATTATAAGTATTATATGTGTTTTGTATTTATATTTGTTATGGAAGAACTAGTTTTATTATATATTTAGAATAGAGAGAGAGAAGAGACTTTCTACAAATGAAATAGAATTTACTGAAAATCTTGAAGAGTACAGCATGATCCCAAATTATTTCTAACTTCTGGAATTTCAATTTACTTTTGTCTTAGACACTTTACAAACACTTGAACATTTCAGCACAATGACAATAGGCTGTAGTGCTGTGTCACTATCAAGATATTTCTAGTTTAATTACTGGTAAAAATAGTCGGCATCAGTTGTCCTCAAAGCATATGCTAGTGGCGTCCTTTAAGCTTCAGGAGTAACACTGTAATTCTGCTGTGCTTTCAGATAGAGTTTAAAAAATAATAATAATCAGTAATCTCCAACAAGACCAAAGATGTCCACAAGAATCAGAAGATGTTGCCAGGAATGCCATCCAGCTATTCAGAAACCAAGCCAGGGAACTTAAAGAAAAGATTTTTTTTAAAACAAATATTATAAAATAAAAATGGCAGTGCCTGCTTGGTCTAGCTTCTTTCGAAAATACATAAGCAATGTTAGACAAACAGAAGTTCCTCCGACCTTGTGATTTAATTTACATGTGGGCAACAGACTCAAGCTCTCCTTAACTTCATACCGAGAATAAGAGCTGGGCCAACACATTGCCCGTGAGTTCAACAGAGGTCACAGAACCTCTTTCCAGCAGTGTGGTCTTTTGCAACACAGTCCATTGCTCTTGTGACCTAGTATTAGCAGGTACGGGACATCTCACATTCATTTCAAGCTAGGCATATAGTCTTCCTCCTCCTTGCTCTGAATGGTTTATTACTATGGAGTCCAACTAAGTATCTTCCCAAGTTTTAACATTATATCCCAAAATACAACTATTGCCCATTTCTACTCACACTGGAAAAACGTGCGTTTATTTCTGTAAAGTACAAAAAGTGTTCGTATTTTTTGCACATATTTTTCCTCCTCCAACATCAGGTCCATGTTTTCAAAAGGAAAATGGACTCTTTTTGACTAAGACCCCTCCTGGACTAGTACTAAAGCACTATCTGCTCTGTTTTTCTCTCTTTCCTTTTTTCAGCTGCTACTGCCTGCAGGGTCTTCTGAATAGAATAGGCATGTTCTTAGGATAGACAAAAGGTTAGATGAAGGAGAGCAGCAGGCAGGTTTTGTCCCTATCTGGACCAGAAGGACAGTAAATCAGTGTTGATCTACTCTGCTCAGGTGCTTCTTAGCCCCTTCTCTCTTTATTTTCTGTATTTCTTCCCCCTACCTGTATGCCATCTAAGCCCTGGGTGCACTTTCAGTTTTACATAAGCAAGAATCTAGAACAGCCTGGGATTTACACAGAGTCACTTCTTCTTTGGTTTATGATCCAATCTCATAAGACTCTTGCCTTTTATTACATTTCTTTAATGGGTCCTCATTTCCTCATCTTGTTTAATTCCATGCTTTTGTTCATCAATTTTTTTTTTTTTTTTTTTTAAGAGATAGGATCTCACTATGTTGCCCACGCTGTCTCAAACTCTTGGCCTTAAGCAATCCTGCTGCCTCAGCCTCCCAAAGTACTGTGATTACAGGCGCAAGCTACTATGCCTGGCCTGTCAAATGTTTTTGATAAATGAAATTTTTATTCTTAAGAGACCCTGGTTTGTCCACACTACCTTTGAAAAATTATTTCTAAGCTGAGTGTTTTAGAAGTGTTTCTGTTTCTAGCCCATCTGTGTTGCTGTACTTATTGCCTAGCTGTCATTCAGGTATGGGGGAAAAAATCAAAAATAATTTGTTTTAAAACAAATATAAAATAAAAATGGCAGTGCCTGTTTCATCTAGCTTCTTTAAAAAATACACAAGCAATATTACACAAACAGATGTTCCTCCGACCTTGTGATTTAATTTACACATGGGCAGCACACTCAAGCTCTCCTTTACTTCAAACCATGTTGGCACATACCTCCTTCCAGGGCCACCCACCCCTTTCCTGCTCCCCACTACCAGAAACAACTCACCATTTCTAGAGTGTTCACTGATTCCATATTCATGTGTATTATTGGGATTCTATGTGGATCAAGTATCAAAGATCCTTTCTTCTGATACATTTGGAATAAAATATGACAGTATCTGGATTGCAAATTTTTCTTTCATGTTAGTGGGAGTAGATGAGATGCAGAGTTAGTGAGTAAACTCGATAGGGTCCATGAATCGGTGAACTGACCACCATGTGGGTCTGGTGAGAACCAGCTAGTCTATGATGATTCTGCCCAGTAATTTTGTTGTTGATTTTATTCTAAGTTTAATCCATCACCAATTTCAATTTCTAAACCCAAAAATCTGTTTCAGAAGAGTCTATTCCCAAACAGTGCTTAAGCATGTGTTTGACAGTAGTCATCACCAGCGCATCCTTGTCTACACTTTCCTAAGGCACTGCATTGGTGTCGAAAAACAAAATAGCATATGGCTCTTTTTTTTTTTTTTTTTTTTTTGAGGCAGAGTCTGACTCTGTCACTGAGGCTAGAGTGCAGTGGCATGATCTCGGCTTACTGCAACCTCCGCTTCCTGGGTTCAAGAGATTCTCTTGCCTCAGCCTCCCAAGTAGCTGGGTTTACAGGCACATACCACCACACCCAGCTAATTTTTATATTTTTAGTAGAAATGGGGTTTCACCATGTTGGCCAGGCTATCTCAAACTCCTGACCTCATGTGATCTGTTCACCTTGGCCTCCCAAAGTGCCTCGGATTAGAAGCGTGAGCCACCGCACCTGGCCCAAATTGCTCTTTTGAATATAAATGAAATTAAAAACCTGAAGAATGTTTTTTCTCTAACTATGAAAAATTTAACTTTCTTCCTGGTCGTTTTTGAGCAAAATTTGTTGTTTTCATTCATTCATATTTATATCATCCTATTGAAATAAATTATAAAAACTTCTTTTGAAACAAAACCAGATATCTGTTACCCTGTAGATGATTTGCTCTTTTTCTCTCTGCCTCATCTCTTCTTTCAATAGAGAGTCTAGTATGGCCAGGTGTGGTGGTTATTGTGTTGTGTAATTATAGTTCCAACTATTCAAGAGGCTGATACAGGAGAACTGGTTAGACCCAGGAGTTTGGGAGCAGCCTGGGCAATATCACAAGACCCTGTCTCAAACAAAACAAAACAAAAAAAGAATCTGGTATGGGTAGAAATATTTTCTTGGATTAATGAATTTCCTTTTGCCTTTCTTATTTATTCAGTCTACAAAGCATCCTGTAAGAATATCTTTTTATAATTTCAGGAAGAATATCCAGCCTATGAGATATTGAATCTTTGAAAATAATGTATAAGCAAATCCATAATATGAAAATCAGCCTGCTATTTTTATAACATCTGTGGCCTTCAGTTTGTTAAGTGTACTGAGAGTCAAGCCCCCACGTTTCTTCCTAGAGCTGCTGTGTGAGAGGGTGGAATTTT